ATTATGGGAGGACTGAATGAAAATTTTCCAAGTCTCTTTTTTGTTAACACCAAACTCATCCCACATACCTCATTTAAGGAAGAGCAAAATTGGCAGATACCTTTTACCAACAAATGAGGAAAATGGAGGTCTTGGAGAGGATTTACGAGAGAAATAGTTGGATTTGTGCGTGAATATCCCATCCTAGGGCTAAAATGTTAAGTTAGTTTCTAAAAACGGAGAAAATAAGTTGTTTAATTGAGAAGCTACGGTTGGGAGAGTGTCACTTGAGAGACGTCTGCGTTTGATAGCTGCATTGTTCTCCAACACCGTGATTTGGCCTCTCTGGAGGTTGGGGAGGACTTAACCCCTCCTTATCCGACATTACGCTCCTTAGTTGGGTAATAGCTTGACTGGTATGGCGTTGCAGTGACTATATCTGGTTCGACGGATGATGCGGAAATAATTAATCTTTTCGCATTTATGTTTTGTAGTGGAAGTTGGAGCGAAAAGTGATCAAGTTCCCTCCGCCCCTACGCCCTGACTGACAGAGCTCCGATACTGCTTCTCTGAGGGCAGACATGTTTCGCCTCTTACTGTATGGCAAGCACAAGTGATTTTCTTTTTGTAAAACCGGATTTGAGCACCGTCTTAAGTTGCGATAGGTGCTTGTATTGGAATAGCACTTTGAACTGCTATTTAGGTGCGACAATACGGTTCCTCCTTCTCCGTTTCACCTACGGGTTTTGGAGAGGAGAGTGGTAGGCGCAAAGCACAAATGTGTTCCCGTACTATTATAAAGTCTATTGTTTTACGCATTTGAAGAAAAAAATGAAAACTATTTCTTCTTGACACCTAAAATAGATGTCTGACTCCCAACCTCTTCTTCCCAACTCCAAATCGGGTCAAAATGGCAGTGGATAGCGGACGCTTGTTAGGGACATGAGTTTAGGGTGGCAGTGTAGATAGCGCAGGAGATTTTAAGGAAGGATCACGGAAGGTAAGATTTTTAATTCCTGTGCCAAAGCAGCCTAATGGGAGGAAGTGAAAATGAGACGCTCCAACTGCCAACTACATGGCAAATTATGAGTCCTATCAACCTACCAATCGCATAATTTCCACAGAAGGTTTGAAAAAAGAGGAGGAGAAACGATTTCAAAATGAGACTACAACGCCTTTAATAGGATTCTAAGTTTAACGGCGGGTTCGAGTGTCTGGATGTAAATGGGGTGGACAGCAAATGGGAAAAGTTGCCGTCTTCTTACCTCCAAATCATGTCTGGTGCAGATGTTTTTTTTTGGTGGATTTTCTGAGGCATCTCGGGAAGAGGCATTTGATCACCTTCACATTTAGATCTGGACCCTCAATGACCAGTGATGTTATGTAAGGAGAACTCCGCAGCTAAAAGACGGTCAATCATCTCATCCCTGAGCTGAAGACAGGAGGAAGAGGGACGAGAAAAGTAAAAGGCAATGGTAAACATACACCTTCCTCCGCCCTCCACCCGCCTAAGGAATGTACATTTTGGTGAATTCTTGACACACCTCCTACCTCGTAAAATTATTCTCGTGAGAGATGATAAACCTTATTAGGCGATGGGCATTCATATTAGTGTGCCGATAATTGCCATTTGATCTGGTTTGGATGAGGAGGACTTGTAATACGTTGGCACACTCGAAGGAATCCATCCTCGACCAGGTGGGGGACTTTGGCCAGGCGACTTAGAGTACGAATTTAACAGTTGGAGGCCATGCAAGCATTTACCCGAGGTATCAAACAATAAACACCCTTTCTTGCCTTTGATCTTAGCATACACAAGAATTCAGGAATCAGAAATACTTCAAACCAGCCTCCAACTCTTTGGGACTTCTCTTAATGCTTCCTGAAAGCCATTCAGCGACTTTCATTTCCATATCATCCAGTTTTACCAACTACAATATTAACAGAGCCGTCAAAATAAAAGGATGAAGGCGAGAGGAGGCATGACAAATTACCCCACTTTCTTCTCACTTAGCATTGTTTTAATTTCATGAAGTTGCAAGGCTGGCAGCCTCTCTTTAAGTCGCCTCTTTATTGTGCACTTTGACTTATGAATGGCAACCGTCTCACACTCGCAAAAGTCTGTTAAACAAAATCGCATTAATCTTCCGATCATTTGACAAGCCGCATTAACTTATCCGATTTTACATGAGTGGGACACGCATTTAAAAGGCAAAAGTGCATAAAATCAACAGGATGCAAATTAAATCACATTTGCATGTTATCAAAATGTGCAAATGGAGCACGACTAGTGCCAGTACGCTTTATGCGTACTGATGGTGCAGCAGTGGAACATGAGGATAGGAGATAGAGAAGTGCTGACCGACACTAAGATGGGGATTAAAGTCGATTTACTGTTTGTGTAGCACATCAGGGTCGGTTAAGACAGTGATGATGTGGTTGAGTCCGGTGTAGTGAATCATCAAACACATTAGCC